AAAAACCATGTTTGGTTTGTTTTTCTTGATTAACCTCTTTAATGCTCTTTTTTTTTTCCTTTTACCTATCCTTCTAAGGTTCCAAGTTAAAAGAATTATAGAAAAAGACAAAACTCACATAACTACAGTCATCACCTCGTCACTATCTCAATCCTATCGAATATCCTCATCACTTGCCTGATTAGCAAAAGCCTTGATAACTTTTGTCCTTTATCGCCATAAATTCCAAACCAAGGTTGCTATTCACATCCATGGTTGTTAAAGATTCCCTCCACATAATGACCTCATCATCCCAATTACTCATTGTACTATCTTTTTTTTTCCTTCATTATTCTCCTTAACTTCTTTTTTGTCTCCCTATTTTCATTCAATCGACTTTTCTGCTCTAAATCCTCCTTTAAAACAGAATTTTCTCTACCCTTTTCTCTCTAAGTTTCTCCACTCTACTCACACTAACTATGATCCCTATCTAGTTCCTTCGTCTTTGTCTTCCTGTTATTTGTTCCTTTTAGTTCCCTATTTTTGACTTGGCCTTCAAACTGGTTTCCTAATTTTACTCTCTTTCCTTCCAATACTGATTTTTTTATTTGGAGCTTCGACTTGCTTATTTTTTTTCCCTCTTCTTGCTTCTAATGCAATCCTTTAACACCATATCCTCCAATATTGATAACCCTAAGTTTTTCCACCTTTATCTTATAGAGCTTCCCCTTAATACCTCAATTTCTTCCACCCTTCAATCACCCCATTCATCTAAGCTTTGACCATTTGCCTTGATACCTTTACTTTTTTCCATGAATGGTCGACCTTTTCTCTGTTTTCCCTTTCTCATACACTTCTTTCTTCAATTTTGAGTGCTCTAATACCTTTCAGTTCAACCTTATCCCTTTTAGTCTCCCTCTTTTCTCTACTTTATATTAACCCATCTTCTAATCTGCACTTACTTTTGATTCTTAAGCTATTTTCTTCCTGCATAATGGTCCTTAGAGCTTAACCTCCTTCATCAAAAAACCTATCATAAACTGAAACCCCTGGAATCCCTTCACTCTAACTTATTTTACAACTTTTCCCCCCATATTCAACATTTTAAGCTTGTTTTTTTCTTGAACTTGGTCCATAGTTAATCCAACAAACTCAACATGAAGGCCACCACTCTATTTTGGACCGTCATAATCTCGTCCCCCTTAAACTCCTTCCTTTGGCCTTTTCCATCATTTTCTCTTTATTAAAATTTAAACTTCTTTTCTTTTGAACTTTTTCTTTTCTTATACACTTTTCTTAGTTTCATCCTTACTTTCTCGAAAGACAAACCCTGTGTCTCTCTTTTTCACCTTAGTTCCCCTTTTAAGGCACTTTTCAACCCAGCTTTATTTGGATTGCAACTCCACTGTTTGATGCTTGATACCAATCAATCATCACCATCCATAATTATCCCTTCTTTGTCTGTTTCACCATCCGACTTTCGCTAACTCACCTTGATACCAACCATGTCATCACCATCCATGCCTTGTGATGTAAGCATTGGATTTGTTCGTCTTGAGAATTGGATAACGTGACAACACATTGGAAGGTGACCGGGCAACACATTGACAACCATCCGTACAACTTTCAACTGTTTCCTTGTCCATTATTTTGGTGAGTCTTTCTTCAATAATTGCGTAAATGGACTTGTAATCTTCGTACGATTTACAATGAAATTTCTTGTAGAGTTTACAATTTCAAGGAATTGTTGCACTTTCTTTTTTGTGATTGGATCTAGATGATTGGAGTTCTTGGCCTATATGTGGCTACGCGATGTACTTTCCATCTTTGAGGTGCATAACGAGGAAGTTGGTTTTTATAGCACTTAATGTAATCTTTTTCTTGCACAACATTTTCTCGTAATGCTAGACGATGCTTTGGAATTTTTCTAAAAGTTGCTTGTGACTTGTCTCGTCGAGAGAAAATAATAAGATATCATTAATATAGATTAGTGCATTATTTAATATTGAATTGAATATCTTTTTCATAGCTTTTTGGAATAATGACAGAGTTGTCTTCAAACCAAAGGGCATAATCATCCATTGAAAATTGTGTTGGGGATGTAAAACACTACTTTGTATCTTTTTGACTGAGATATTCAAAGTTGTGAAAATATTGCTTTCAAGTCAAACTTGGAGAATACCTGAGCATTGGGCAAGTTTGAGAACAATGTTTTTCTATTGGGGAGCGAGAACTTGTCATTAACAAAGAACAAGTTTAGTGGCCTGTAATTAATGACCAATCTTAACTTACCACTTACTTGCTGAAAGCATTTATTAGCATAGAAGGCGTTGTGCGCCCATAAGAAGGTTGTGGGCTTAATTAAGCCTTGGTCTTGGAGTTGTGAACAGTGTCTTCAGTGGCTAGCTTGAGATGGTCTGGGTTTATACTCGAACAGCAAGCGTTTACTGGGTTCACTAATTCTTCTTTTTCGAACGACAGAGTGATGAAAATCTCTAAGTTTTTCAATAGTGGATTTGGACATTTAAGGAAAGAACTTGCATAACTGTCAACACAAGAAGTTAAGATTAACTTCTTTCTGATATCTTCGAACTGGGCCGAATGCAAAGTGATTGTGAACAGGTTTGTCAGGAGTCTCTATGTTTGGAAGAACTGTCTACACTTGAGATCTTTGTAGTTAAGCTTAAGAACTGGCTTACTAGATAGAATATCAAATCCAATGGCTAAGTCCTTATGTGGTAAAGAGGAACCTAGTATCCTTTGTGTGATAGAGACACTTGGGAAAAACTCAGTTATTACAAACAGGGTCTAGTAACTCTGTTCATCGTCAAGTGAGAACACGGATTGAAGATCATCATCGTTAGATAGATTGAGACTTGAAGTGCTCACAATTTATTACATCATCTGGATGGATTTCTTGTCTAATCTACGACATTGCTTTGTATAGTGTCTTAATTTTTCGAAGATGAAGCATTTTGATGGCTTGTTGTCTAGTTTCACTTTTTTTCTTCCATAATCGAAGCTTTTGAATTTTTTTCTTCTTGGAAACTTATTAGTCCTCATAATAAGCTGGTTTAAGTATGGTGAGCAATTGTATTTTTTGAGAGGTCTTCTGAAGTGAATTCTTTTTTCGAATTTGCAGAGACAGGAGGAATGTGTGAATGAGTATTTGATTTGTAGTCCTAACGGTAAAGCATATTGAGCATTGAGCTTCTTGAAATTTTGGACTCCTTTGGCAATGTACTTGTGCTCATGACGGATCTTGTCAAAGGCTTTCAACATGATTTTGTGGATATCTTTGAGTGGAAGACTATTCATCTCTAGTCCTATTTTTCATTTAGTTGCAACTGTGTCAAGAAGGTTGGTGCAAGTGTTACAAAGGTCAGTGCTAATGTTGACGGTGTTTTTGGTGGAAAAGGAGTGTGGAGGTGTAGAGTTACATGGAAGGAAGGGTATTATGGTTATTAATTGTGACGGAGGAATGTGGTTGTAGTAGTTTTTGGGGGACTTGTCTTTGAAGATATGAAAGTTGAACCTTTAGTGACTTCATTTCAGCTTCTCTATCAGTTATAGCTTATGTATAGCCTTATCACGTGACAATGATTTGTCAGATTTCTAGATCAAGAATGACAAGTCTTTGCTAGATCTGTAAAATAAAATTTTGGAGATTTATGAGGTGTTGGTCAAAATATCCACTAACTTGATCTATCTTATTTTCAATCCTTAATAAGATTTGCATTATGAGTTTCCTAGTTCAAAACTACTTTAGCTGCTGAGGCTTTCTTTTGATTTCCACTTTCATCACAATCTGAGGGAATTTTGTCTCATAGGATGTAAATTCAAGTTGAGGTAGCTGGGTCAAGGTGTTTTTTCTTTTCCTTTGGATACACGCAAGTCCTACTGCAGAGCAAGACATTAGCTTTTCTTTTTTTCTAGGCTTTAAAGGAGGAAGATGCTGAGTGCAGGTTTTAGATTAGTTTGGCTCATCTGTTCGTTGAGAATAACAAACATAACAGTCAAACTTTCCAATGGTTCGTTGAGAGATAATCTGTTCTTTTGTGACTGCTTTGGGTACATGGACGCATGTGGCTGTGTTTGTCTGGGCATCGAACTTGACAAAAGAGATCGCATTCTTGTGTGGGATAGAGTCGTAGATTGCATGATCTTGGACTCTATACACCATCTGGCAGTGTAGAATGGCTTCATGTGTTTGGCTGATAATTCTTGCTCTTAACAATTTAGATCTGAACTTTCAGTGCTTTTGAAAGTCATAGAGATTGGTCTTGAGTCGAGAGAGGTTTTAGCAATATCTATACAAGCATGTTCATACTTTGAAGTGTCTGGAGTCTAACAAGGCAATTTTAGAGAACACTGATCGTCCTTTGATGCCGTTGTAATCTTACTACTCCAAAATGGATGTGGGTGTATCCTTACTTTAACCACTTACTTAACTGGAAACTTTGGAGGAATCTTAAGTATAAACTAGTCAAACCTTGTGGAGAGTATGTGTTCTTTTGGATTTTGGGTTTTTGGAGATATTAATCTCTTTATGGACGAAGGGAAAAAGGTAGAGGGTTTTTTTAAAAGGCTTCGTATGAATTTAGTAAAGGTATGTGAGCAATCTCGTAGAAGAAGTCATAGTTAGAGACTAGTTTTCCTAAGTACATGAAAGTGAAAAGAGGAGGAGGAGGGACAAGTAGAGTCTGTGCGAGTATGGTTTCCATATCTTATGGGTGTTTGACTACTCTTTGTCCAAATAGTGTCATAACATTGTAATCCTTCTTCACTAACTCATTGGGTAAACTAGATCAATCACTCACCAAATAATAATGGCCAATAAATAAAGTTCATAATCTCTATATGGGAACTTTAAAAGTTGTTTTCTTTCTATTAAAAACATTTGAGTTTGGTAAAGTTTCTATTAAAAGAAGGGTAAACCACTTTATGCATGGATTGGGTACAACACTCGAACTCCTTGGATCTAAACCACAACCAATTTTAAGACTGAAATCATGAGCAAATACGGACAATCCTACCCACTTTCATTCTATCAAATATATTCCACACCACAAGTTTTATTCTTTCCATATACAAATGACTGCAACTCCATTTCTCTACCTAGACATTCTTTTTGTTTGTTTGTACCTAGGCAGGATTAAAACAGTATATATCAGAAGAGGAACCAATGTACCATTTGCTGCTTTTCTCCTATGTAGAACAATGCCTCAATCCATGAAAAACTAACTGTAAGAAGGTTTGTCAGTGACCCTACATTATCCTGTTTGTTTCCATGGCATGCTTGCCTAAATTTTGTACATCACTGAACAATTTGTTTTACGAAGAGGGATGAGCTTGAACTCCATCTCCCCTCTCCCCTCGTCTTCCAGCCTACAGCTTCATAAAGCCGCCTCTAAATGAACCATAAAGTGGTTGTGATCTTCTAAAACTGAAGATATCATCAATTTGGATGATGTGCGGTTGAACTGGCTCACTTTTATCTGAGTTGATTTCAGACAAATGTTGGTTCCCGTACACACGCACACTAAGTGTCTTCTTTCGAGTTGCACCAACTTTTATGTTTTCATTGAAAAAATCTATCAATTCTTGATGTGTAAGCTGCCTTAACGCTGCAACCTGTTTGAATAAAGATGGTAAAGATCAACTATTTAATGACATAAACTATTCAGATCAAACTAAAACATTCAATTTCGATGAACAGTTCAATTAAAATGTAGTATTACATTAAGTCAAAATAAAATGTAGATGTATTTCATTTAACAGAGTCCGCAAAAAAATTACTCTTTTTTCTTAGCCCAAGTACATATCAGTTTGATCTACATACCTCAGCTTCTCTCCTATCAAACTTGAGCGTCCCATCACTGATCTCTCGCCAGTAAAATTGAGATTCTTCCCTTAAATTCTTGTGCTTCTCAAGCTTCATATCAATCAATGCATTTATATTGCTCTGCGTAACAAGTTGGCGGCTGTTATACTATTAAAGGACAAACTCACTCACAGCCAACCACAAATGCACACAATCATACACACACCTTAGAGTTGGATAATAAAATCTTGAATAGAAAACAAATGCAAGAATTACACACCCAACCCACACTCAAAAGTCATGCACATGGAATCTGCATCAAATGCTTAACAAAATTATTGGAATAATTAGTCTGAAATTCCTTCATCTACCAAATGCATAAAGGGCATTCAACTAAGAGATCATTAGGCAGATGATTTTCCAAATGCTATGCAGCTGAATTGTCAACGAGATGTAAAGATATTCTACCCATAATAGATAATTTACCAACATGATATACAAAACAGCCTGCGTTGATATCAAAGTTGTAAATGTACCAAAGAAAGGTAACTAAGAAGCATAATACGAACAGGTTATCAAACCATGAAATAACCAACAATATTTTGACTACAATAAATGCCCATGTTTACTCTGGCAGCAAGATTTTCTTTTTCAATTTCAAAATGAATGACTATATATATTAGAACTCAACCATGCATACCATCCAGCAGATTTGCATTTTCAAGCAATCAACCATTGGCATTCTAGTACAAACTATGACACAGCAGAAAACATGAAGCCGTGCTCTTACCTTACGACTAGAGAAACAATAGCGTAGGGCACATTTGGGGAAGTTTTCCTACTTAGGGTTCATGGTGCGGTGGCTAGAAAACTAGGGATTTTAGGTTTTACACCTATAATTTGAATTAAGATTTGATAATCAATCAGGGAATGAATCAATTGAGATTGGATTTCCAACTAGGGCTGGAGCATGCCTGGGGAAAGATTGGTGGAAGTTTCTGGCAACAGTGGAATTAGAAGAAAATAAGTTTTAGAGGTGCTGTTCTTGTGCAAGGAAGAGTAACCTGAAGCACTGTAGAGTAGAGATGGAAAGAAGAAAGAAGAAAGGAGATTACAGATCACTCAATTACAACTTCTCCAGAAACTCTCAATAACTAAAATCTTGAGTAGCAATTAAAAGATATAACTAGGAAAAAGACTAACTTATCCTACTGGAACTAAGATTCTAAAATCATTAAAATTACAGAAAAGACTCAAATAATATAAACTACTAAACACTACTTTAAAAACCTAATATCTCTAAGCAACCCAAAATAAGACCCAATGGACCACGACAAAGATCCATACCAGCAAAACAAAAATGACAAAAAACCCCAACAGACCAAAACTAAATTAAATCCATAAATTACTTTAATGAGAGAAACTTTGTTGATGAAGAACCCTAGAATTTAGCCTTGGGTTTCCAAAGAAGATGGAATTATCTAAACAAGCTGCTGATGCTATATCAAACAATCTCATGAATAAATTACCTTGGACCTTTGTCACACAAGTTAAAAAAAAAATCCACAAAAACACACAGAAAAGAATTACTTCCACCGGCAGAACTCCCCATCTTACCTTAAATTCATCATTTGTCATCTCATACAGTTTACTCTCAAACATTTTGAGGAATGCCTCAACTCTCAAATCAATACGTCCTGGACCCTGTTAAGAGAGACCGTGTTTTAGAGTTGAAGTGAAAAGGCAATAAGTAAATACAAAAACGAGAACCATGAAATGCACCTTTACTGTAGATTGGATAATGAATTGCACCCCACGAATTCCAGAATCATTCCTAATGAAAGACAATTCAAGACCTTAAAATGTTGCAGAAAATGCAAGCATAATATTAAGGGACAACAGTTTTTCTCATACCTCTGCATGAGGACAGTAATGTACCCCAGTTGCTCAATAGATCGAAGCTGATGGAAGGCAGGTTGCTTTGCAATAAGGACAAAGAGTTGAAGTTTCACATTCAATATAAAATCATCCCTATGAACCTAGCCATTCAAACATGATTCACGTCAGAATTGCGTAATTTCAAGGGGCATATGACTCCAAAACTGATACAAGAACTTAAGCAAAGCAGAATCATACGGAAATGTTGTCCATCTTTCCGCAACCTTATCAGTCAAAAAGGAGTAAAAGGTAATAACTATGTCATGGTAATGAATGTTAATCTTTGGATCAGTTCTTTTAGGATCCTTCACCTCTCAAGAGCAGGATCCACTTCAAGCCATAGACATCCTTTCATTCATATACATACACACACACACACAACTATTTCATTCAGAGATGGCCATAAAATGCAACCAGAACACTCCATAGATATTTGGACAACAAGAACCTTTCACATTCTACAAAATTCTAAAATAAAAACAAGTAAATAAGTTTGAAGACAGTTTTGCATTGGGTGAATGAAAATCATCTTTAGAATCATGTATAATTTTCTAAGTTTTCTAAACATCAAATCAATTGCAAAAATTTATTTGTGAGGTTAAATTGATACTTTCAGTAACATGCTTTATTTCAAGCTCTCCCACCTCGAGGAAAGAGTTCAGGAAGTGGAAGATACCCTCCACAACCAAGTGGGTGAAACATATAAATTCCACATTTTCATCTTAACATTTCAAGTATTAGGCCAGACAGTGGTAGTTGTATTAATGTAAACTGCCTAAAATCATTGTGTTACAGTGTCTGATGGACACAGACAAAGTTAATGTCCCAACATATGTTTCATGCCCATTATATATAGACAAAAGTCTTTCACCAGATGCTTAAAGCAAATTATCCTCCACAAAATCATGTGATGCTCCAAGGATGGTCAATGTCATTTCCACATAATATGGACATATCTTTGTTCATCAGGTAAACTCCACCTACACCTCTTGTAGTTTCAATCTTTTCCCCATGACACCCTACGGTTTCCTTTTTCCCAAATAGCACCCTATAGATATCTTTCTTCTTAATTAGCACCTTGTGGATAACTTACGTTGTCACAAAGGGTTAGGCTGTTAATTTTGCTCAGTAAAATTACAAAAACACCCTAATGTGTGAACAAACAAACTAACTTTGAATTGAGGATGTTTTCATAATATTGGAAAATTAACAGCTAAAACCCCTGTGAGAACAGAAATTATTCACAAGATGCTAATTGAGAAAAAAGGTATCGATGGGGTGCTAATTGAGAAAAAAGAAACCACAAGGTGCCACATGGATAAGTTGAAATCACTAGGGGTGTAGGTGACATTTACCCTTGTTTATTCAACAGAAATTTGCTCCTTGCAGAGCCATGGGTTTTATTGACATAAATCCAAAACAATGTTACAAAATTTGGCACCATCAAAGGAGTCAACTAAAAAACATACAGGTACAAGATTTTTAATTTCATATCCAGCCCTTGGTCTCAGGAATTTTTTTTTTTTTTATAATTGGGGGAGAGGGGATTCGAACCCTGCTCTTTAGGCAGGGGGATAATGCACCAACTAATAAGCCAAATGCTCGGGTGTTGGTCTCAGGCAAAATTGAAGGATATAACAGGTTGAGTTGAATCAATGAGTGACATAACATTTTGACTCTTGATCAAGAAAATTTATCTTCATAAACATGAAAAACCTAAACATCAATGACATACTCCTTCATGGACAAGGTAATAGGTGTCCAAAGTCAGGCTCCAATTGTTTTACACCAAATGTGTTCTTATTGGGAAATACTTAATGAAAATGGTACAAATAGGTTATATTTTGGTATTTGGCATCATTAAAAACTAAATGTACATCATTCTCATTATGGATGATAAAATGATTGATGAAAGTTGCTTGCCAGAAGCAATAATGGGCAATGCTAAAAGATAGATGATCAATGAACAAATGTAGTTGATGGTTGCCATTTTTGAAGGTGGTAATAACAGACAACAATTCCTGACAAATGGCCATGGTTGCCCACATGGACAGTATTTTAACATTCACTCCAGAAAAATGTCTAAATGTTATTGAACAATTAATTACATTGTAATTTTGTTTATTGATCCTGAAAATATTTGAATCTTCATATGTCAGACCAAACATAAGAAATAATTCCCCTTAAATCATTTTTTATTAACAAAAGTAGCCTAAGCAAAATAATGCATGCCCCAAATGGAGAAAGCATCAGCTAAATTTCAACATGTAAAGGATGAATGCATGTCAAGATTAATGAGTACTACAGTCAAAGAGGACCTGAAATGATATCTGAGAATATATTGGAAAATCCAACATGATTAGATTATGAACAATGGAGCCTTTGATTAATAAGATCGTATGGCATTTTTTCTACAGATACTTAATGGAGTTCATGATCGAGGCTAACACCTAAAATTCAAACCAAGGAAGAGTTTTACATATATAAAGTCAGATAGCAGAAAAAGTTTAGGTAATTAACGCTATCCAGACATTTCAAAATTCACACCTACATCCACGGTTCATGGCAGCAATGGGAAAAGAGATCTTTCACAAGTAAATGCAAAGCTGTGGATATCTCAGCATCAACATAACAGCTCAAAAGACTGCCCGCTATTTAGATATTAAAATTCAGGGCAATTATGTCTAGATAAAACTCATTGGGAGCAATATAATACAAGATCCTAATGGGTAAATGCATTCCAGATAAAATGACCAAAAATTTTATATTCTCCAGACAAACCACAATTACCTGAATATAGTGGACTAAAGCAGAATTCTCATCACTAGGATTAAGGCCTTCCTTAGAGTGGAAGTAATTCATGCCTCTTTCAAGCTTGACAACTCTATTTGTTAGATGCTGGGACAGAAACAATGGCTGGCATATAGGGTTTGAACCCTTAAAGAAAACATCCTCAACACGCTGAATCATTGACTCTGCTTCCTCCTGTTCGATGTTTCCTATGGGAGAAATAAATTAAAATAAAACAAAAGGGTGAGAATATTTAGAACCTAGCAAGTATGACTAGATGCAACAAAAAAGTGACTGGGATGGAGAAGGAAGGCACATATGACAAACCTGCTATGTAACACTCCAGAAAGGCCTTTGAGAGCATCATGGGAGCAAATTTTGCAAGGTCTTCTGCATTAAGATGAGGTAAAACTTCAAGTTGTTCCATCCAAGGCCTTGTCTGGTCCTTTAGTATTAATGAGCAATAGTACATAGCCTGTTGATAGGGTTGCTGAAACTTGAGATTTTGATAGTCCTTCATTACCATTTCCTAATAAAAACAAAGAAAGAATACGAAGGGCAGAATAGAAGGTTATTAACAAACATATTGATTAACGTAATAAATAAATTTCTAATCACATGCTCTATTGATGAACCAATAAATTCAATCCACATAAAATGGTTTAACTAAAAAGATTTGTCTCATCCAATGACTTACATTAGCAAGTTGACCATAGGTAAATGCCCAGAACCTCTGTTTACTCATTTTCAGTGATGCAGATTTTACTTCAACAGAGAGAAGACAGCCAGGCTGCCAAACCAACATTTTATCAGACTACACAAAATCTTAAGGTTGTTCTTTTTCCTTCCAAAACTAAAGGGAATTGATTATTTATGGATGAACACTTCTCTAACATGTGCCATGCCACGGATCATATGTTCATCTGACCTTGATTTTTGAATGTGAGAAACAAACAGTTAAAATTGTTTGTTTTACAGCACAGGCTATAGGTGCTACAAGAGGACCTTATGACAACCCACCCTCCCTTCAGAGGCAAGTTTATAAAGGCCCTTCATTTGGGCCCCAATTAAAGTTAGCTTCACTTAACTAGTATATGTAAAAGTTACATAAATATCCATAATTAGATTGCCAATATCTAGTCATCAGGATATTGTTGTCAAAGGATATTCTACCCTCCTAACCCAATCAAAATTTAGCAATACTGGCCAGTGGAGATTGAAAGCCCTTTGCTTGGCTACTCACACTGCATTGTTTTTATTACCTTTTCACTGATGGCATAAGAATCTCACATCTCTTGCATAAATCAAGCCTAGTGGTATAAGAGCCAAATATAGAGCCTCTTCCAGTTAGCTATTGCTTTTGATATGGACCCAAGCACCAGTGTTACAAAATTAGCATCTTATAAGCATAATACTTTAAAAAAACCCTTGAACTATTCAAAAAAATTCAAATAAACCCTTGTTCTTTTATTACTTTCAAACAAGCCCTTGTAACCCTATACTTTAATTTTGGATCAAATAAACCGTCATGGCTAACAATTTACTAATTGCCATTCGTATTTTGATATCTATCGTTTTATGCTGAAGTGGCACTAACATGGTATGGTGACTTGTCATAGTGTAGGGTGAGACTGCCACATCTCGACATCAGTCTCAACTATGACAAGTCAACATGTCACATCCAGACCATGGAGGCATAAAATGACAAGTGTCATTTTGCCTAACAATAGTCAACTGTTGGCTATAAGGGCTTATTTTGATCCAAAATAAAAATATCATGGTTTGATTAAATGCAAAAAAGAAAAAAAAAGGTCCGGCTGTTTTGACGTAAAATATTTTTTAGAAAATGTTTTCAAGACTTGTGTTTATTTGGAAGATGGAAAATTTATTCTAAATGTACAACATTTTACAGGTCAATAGGAAAAACACCCATTGATCATGTAAAATGTCTTACACCCTTGAAAGGCATAAGACATGTTTCGGAGAACAAAAGAAATGTTTTTACTAAGTCTAGTAGTATATGTTTAATGAATATTAATATTTAACTAAAAAATTAAAAAAGTAAAATATTAATTTAAATTTAACAAATTTTTAACTTAAAATATTAATATTTAAATTATTCGATACCGTAAAAATTAAAAAAATATTTTTTAATGAAATCATTCAATGTAATTAATATTTTATTTATAAATTGAATAAATATTACTAAAAATTATAACAAAAAATATTTCAATTATCGTCATTTAATGAATACACATTTATAAATATAGGTTTTGAATGTTTTACACAATTGATGAATATTTGATATTTCAATGACATGGAAATTTTTTTGAAAATTAATGCTTACTATCATTACAATATGTGGTTAAATGCTTTAGAAAATATTATTATTGATTTTCCCCTTTTTTATTTCCATTCTTAATTTTAATGTGAACCAATTAACCCAATCAACTCCTATTTATCAATTTAACACCCAAATAACTCACGTTTCCAAAAAAAAAAAAACACTCAAATAACTCCACTAGCGATGGTGGAAATTATTTTCCACAAGATGATCCAATTAATAGATCATGTTTCGACAGTTTATCCAAACAACAGAAAACATTAAATTTTCCTCTAAAATACTTGACACAAAAAAAATTTCCCTTCAGCAAGTTATTTTCCATTTACCAACTGGACTCTAAGGCTTATTTTAATTTTCTTAAAATGATTAAGGGGCTTTTTTAGGTATTATGCCTTTGAAATTATTGCACAAAAACTAAGCCTATACTACAATAATAGAAATGTACTTTGAAACTCTAAAAGTGATATCTTGGTGTATCATGATAATTTAACTTTTTAATAACTTTGCACATGACAATCTATATGGTACACTTAGCATAACTGTGGAGAAAAATTCTTTTTCGGACTACTGCATTTAGATGTGACACTGTAATAAAACAACGGATGAAAAGATTGCATAATAATCACAGGACTTTAACACTATATGTAAAGTTCAGGTGATTAAGAGCTCAAATAACAAGGGCCCAAAATTATGAGGTCTCATAAAACAACCAAACAAATACATAACTAATTCCAGAAGATCAGAAAAAGAAATACACTCACCTGGACCAAGCAATTTGATGTTAGTGGCAATTTTAAGGAGGAAAAATAAAAGGTTGCAATATCTAAAACACTTGAAGTAGTGAACCTCTAGGCATAACAAACCTCAGTCATTACCTTTGTATTATTATATTAGTCAATAAGTAACACCTGCTCAAGAAACACAAATGAAAAGAGCAGACCAGAGACAATGGCATACTGACACCAAAAGGAAGTTGTTTATCTCCGAAGCTTAAGTAGCAATTTATATAGTCTTTTAATCATTACCTTGATTACCGAAAACCTGTCAGGTTTCACTTCAAATTTCGCAATTTTATCGACTACAGTTTCCAGCAAGATCCTCAACTTGTGATTATAACCAAACAATGTAACCTAAAAGAACAAAACAAATTAAAAGATACCATCTAATTAAGAAATGAAAGATATGATTAATGCCATATAACTACTCTGATAAGTGCAGATACACATATAGAAAGAAAGAAAAAGAAAATGATTACCACAAAAGACTGTTTATTTTCCTTCTTGGATCTTTTCAACTAAGGTAAGTATTTAGAGCATGCATATCATCAGTGTAGAATATTTCCAGCCAATTCTAACTTTAATCTAACTTAAGAGAAGGCAAACTACAGATTGGTGCGACAGTAAGGCAGAATTTAGAGTCTGCCAGTGTAAGTAAATTCTTTATCATTCTCAAAAGATTATACATTTCACACACTTTAGTTACCTTCTCAACAGCAATATGTTAAAAGTGCATCCACCAAACGAATAAATAATCCACCGATAGAGTCAAGCAGCATAGGGGGTAAGTTCCTTGAAACAATGCTTCAGAGAGGATACCCTATTTTAATCAATTCTTGCCCTTTTCAGAGTTCCTTTCAATTATGCTTCAGAGAGGCTTTTCCTTGAATTTGTAATCCAATTATCCCAATTACCTTCTAGCACTCAGACAATTTTGCTTCTTTTTCATTTCTTGTTTTCTTTTTGTTTTTTATGCCAAAAACAAACAAAAACAAAATTGTCTAAATGCTAGATAACAAGCAGGATCATACTGTTGAAGACAAAATTTAGAAGCTTTAATGAGCATCAACATGATCTAATTTACGATCAAAGTTATTAGGACAGACCCAGCCAGCCAATTCAATATGGAGAGTCATGAATCAGGTGAGGCACTTGTCTGAATGACCCTTGTAATTCTCCTTAGGCAGAAATTTCCCAAACTCAAGTGACATGAAGCTTTAACCATGAAACATGCAATCCCACCTCTAAATTCTGGTCATACAAATCTAAATCCCATCTCTCATTTTATCCTTATTATAATGAAGATAATCTATATGTGTTAGTATATATAATTATAATTCATTACCTTATCCATAGACAATTCATATTTAGGTCAAATGCACACATTATCAGATGGAATCACATAAATGCCACAAGAGAAAAAAGGAAGAAGTACCTCAAAACCACTATTTAGGTCGCTTATGCTGTAATAAAGACCAGCAACCTGAGCATAGTAAGCTGAAGCACATAAGATAAAACAAGGCATCAGTAAAGGAGACAATCATACTCGAATGGTAAGAATAATCTAAAGTCACTACAGATAGCTTTTGATATAGAAAGCTCAAGCAAAGAGAAAAGGAACTGGGGAAGGAGGGGCGAGTAGAATTATACATTTGAAGGCTACCGCCTTATAATCTGAGTACTGCATAATCACATTACACCATTATCGAAAAAGGATATGAAATTTATCATACCATATTCATTCAAGTAATCCATCAATAACCGTGCAAAAATATCTGCAAGAACTTCAGCTTCAGGAGAGTTGCTAGCATATGGGCAGTTGAAGTCTATCTTAACATATGCCTTAGGAGTGGAGAACATTGTGTCAGGCTTGTACCATAATTTTGAATATGATGACTTTCTCAACAAAACTGGAAACTTGACCTGTTCCAAAGGTTAATCGCATGAGAAGTCAGAATAACTACAAAAGGAAATTAAAAAAAAAAAGTGACAACTTTAAAAAAATAAAATCAAATTGTAAGATCCATCAAACCTTCTCTTGAGCACTCTTAAGAGACAAGTCTGTTGGTATAAAATCATTAGGGGCAGGTAAATGCAGCTTTTCCATAGGAGCCAATGACATCCATTCCTGCAGTCAAATAAAGATTCCATCAAGCACCTTTTTTTTAGTGGAATCAATGACTAGTACATCATTTAGACAAATGAAATTATTATTATTATACAGATCTAGTTAATTATCATCAGCAAGATCTGACTACGGACCTGAACTATTGAGGGGGTAACTTTCTCAATGGAATATGCAGTTCCATACCAAGGCTCAACCTTGTCAGTCAGTCCCTCAAATTTCTTTGACTCCCAGAAGATTCTGTTAGAAAGAGGGCTTATCAGAAATAAACCATACCATAGCACAACAATAACTATCTCGAGCTAACAAGACACAAAACCATTTCTACAATTCAGAAAAATAAGTAAAGTTTTTTAAACATTTCTAAGAATTCTTCTGAAAGCTTCCAGATATTATTTGTAAGCAGAACAAACTTAATAGCAACTTTGTTTGGAGGAGCTACAATAAGTGAATGCATTTGATAACTTGGCAGTTCATTTGTTTAATAACATGCACACTGTAATTCACACAAACATAGAGGGAAAAAAAACAAAAAAAGGAACACCAATATTGAGAGCTTCAAACTAATAATAGTGCATGATGCATTTGTGAAAACTTAAATACTAGTTCAAAAAGGAGGGCCAAACAAGTTAATTAGATGTATACTTGCATTGATATAAAGGTAAAAAGAGCTTAAACGTCTCTAATGGGACAAGTGAATGGGTCATATATCCCATTTTAGTCCTCACTCAAAACACATACCTGACATTCTCTGGACAGAGCTCATTTAGTATCATTTGTATAGTGTCTGGATTGAAATTCGAAGGCAATGATGACCCCACTAGCCAATCTTTTGGAGGATATATCTGAAAATCAATGTCAAAAGAATCAGAATCAAACTAGTTAAGCCCAAATGTAAGATCATCAATAATAAACGGAATATTGCACTAACTGAATGAACAGTTTATGCATGAGGGCGATTCAGATATAGAATGACAATCTAAAGCAAGTCCCAAAAGCCAAAGCTTGAATACTTGCTGTTTAAATGATCAGCAATTCTCCTTAAGAAAGCTCTCAAAGGAACTGGAGGAGGATCTAAACAAGCTTGCAAGTAAGCTACCAAATGAGCTTGAGGAGGATGTTGCTTCTGAAACAATCCTTCGACATTAGTTTTCACAGATACACCAAATGCAATAAATGTTATCTGCAAATACGGAGACTCAGGAGCACCCTTCGAACATTGTGAATTATCAACCTTTCTGTTCATTTCCTTAATTGCTTCTAGATCATTCACAAATCGCATTACACTTCTTCTAAGGAAGCCTACTATCTCCACTAGGCTATGGCAAAGTAATGCCAAATCAGCATATACATATACTAACCTTGGATACCCAAAAGTATTTTGCAAATTGACACACCAATGAAAAATACTCTCCTTAATTAAAAATGGCTAACTCCTTTTAGCCAGAGAGCAGTGTATAAATGCCCTCCTAACGTATGGCTACACCTTCCTATACACATACCCAAATTCAGGATCAGAGAAAACATAATGATCACTAATGGTGATATGCAAGTCCAAGAAATCCCTCAATAATCATAAGGCTCTTTTCCATAGAAAACCCTCTAAGAAGTTCATAAAAATTGGGGCATTTATGAACATTTATTTAGTTTTGATTGATAAGTGCTGTAAAGAGGGAAAGAGGGAAAATTTTTCAATCTAGTGGCTAGATCTCATGAAAAGCATCCCAACAACTCTGCTTCATCCAAAATTTTCCTATTTAGACAGAAAAGCCAGACTAAGGGCCTGTTTGGGATAATGGTGAAATTGGTTCCAGTGAGATTGAAAATAGAAATGACTGTGAGATTGAACTTGCAGCAGTGAGGTTGAAACCAACAGTAAGACAATATGTGTTTGTAGAAATAACGTGGCAGTGAGGTAAGCTATGATTAGAAGAAAAACTGACCATTGAGGACATTAACTTCAAAAGTGTATAAATAAATTATTTTCATATAGAAATTTTTAAAATTTTGAAAAATTATTCAATAAAAAATACAGACACATCATTTTCAATTATAAAAATAATTAATAAATAAATTACTAAAAATTATTTTATCCAATCAAGTGATAAATTAATAATTATTTAATACATCTATCAAAATTATTTATTTCCTTTAAAGGACATTAAGTGGCATTTTATCTTATAAACAATTCAATCAAAATAAATAAAATTATTCTTATTAAAATAATAATTAATGTATAATTAATAAATATTGACACATTTATAAGTAAAAAAATAATATTATCTATTTTTATTTGATTAATTATAGTGTATTTTTTCATTTATTTTTTAATTTAATTGTTAAAACTTTAATATATTAATCGATTGTACCCTTGGCCATATTAAATTAGGGGCATTTTCATCCTACATATTGAGGAACAAAACAGAGAAAAGAAAAAGAGAAATGAAGATAAAATAGGGAAAAATGGGGAAAAAAAATGGCTTGTTTGAGCCACAAAATCCCCAAGGATCCAATAGCCCAACCGCTAGTGGAAGGTGGTCCACTGCTGCTAGACATGCCCCCAGCCACACCTCACTGGCCAGCCAAACAGCAGGCAGCTGCAGGGCGGCCAATTTTTTGCCTGAACTGCCCCTCACTGATGCAATAAATGGCCCTAAGTGTAATCCAGCATCTTCCCCTCTACACCATGTATGTACACCAGCAGCTCAGGTTTCATTACCTGATTGGACATATTGATGAATTACACCATTGCTATCCTTCAAAAGAAGAAATATGGATTTGGACAAGAACAAAAAAAGTGAGAATACCGTATGAGACAATATGAAGAAATACAGTCCAAAATCCAAAGAATTCAGCTGAGAAAAAAGCAAAATGGTGGCCAACATGTTCAGTGAATTGAAGGACATAAAAGTTGTCATGCAAACTTTGCACTATGAAATAAAACTCTCAGATCACGAATGCTAGCAAATAGTACCTGTATAGTTCTAACTAGTTCCAAATAGTATTAAATAGTAGAACCATAAGGCAAATTTTTCCAGAAAAATTATTAATCTTTCATTCACCCAAACAAGGAGGCTACACACAATTTTGAATTTTCCTAAGCTGAATTCTTTGGATTTTGTGGCTACAATTTCATCAACCTATCTATATTGTCTTTCCATTTTTCTGTTCTTCCCCAAATCCATGTTCTCATCTTGAAGAATAAAAAATGGTTAAATTCATCAACGCATCCAATCAAGAAGTGCAATGTATTTACTTCGAATAAACTTTCAATGAAATTTCAGTAAATTGTAGTGTTTGTTTCCTCTGTGTTCCTCACACTTCCTTAGGTTCCACACTTACAGCTACTCATATATTTTCACATACATACTCAAACATGCATTTGATACACACCCTATTCAAAGCAACCTTGTAGTAATTGATATTTCATGTGTAAATATTTTGAATTAGAAACCATGCTTGTAAATAGATTAGGATTTAGTAGGTGACCACCTCAAGTTGCAAATGTTGTGGCAATAGACTTTTCAAGTCCATTTTTCAAGTGGCAGAAAGTAGAAAACTGTGACATTATTCAAAGATGGGTATTCCAAGTGTCTTCACCATCAAGTAATACAGCCATCCAAAGAATTTAAAGCAGCTAAAATGCATTAGTCACTGCATGTTGGCCGTGTTATCTCTTTTACACAACAAATATCCAAACGTGAAAAACAAGCTTTCATTTCAATTGATCAAGCATACAAAATAATCCTTGCTTTCCATATATTATAGTTAAAGCAGCAATGCAATGAGTAGTTGTAGTATCATGTCTTTCTGGGAAAAGTTCTAATCTTAAAAAAGTTTTTGCATAAATTTATGGTATAATATAAGCAAATAGACTTAACTATGAGTGAAATTGATGTCAAAAAGCTACTGGTAAAAAACTTAAACAAAAGTTTCAAGCAATACAAAGAGGGAGAAAAAGAGAAATGGCAGAGCGGAAGGGGGATGTAATTAAATTGTAATTAAATTACCTGCATATTTGATGCAATTTTTACTACATAGTCAATAGGACGGAATTTGTCCTGATAGTGAAATCCTGTCTCGCAAACAGCTGAGAGCTTCATACACAAATTAAAATGTCATAGAATCATTAATTTAGAACTTGATAGATACTAACTGTTACTAAAATCAAACCATAGGAAGGAAAGGAAAATTAATTAAGATTGACAAACATAAAATACAACGACCCATTGTGCAAAATCTAAACATGATTCAGAAATTATCTTGACCAATGTGCCTATAGCAATGCAAGCTGGTCAAGTCATCTTACTCTTTTCGTATATTTTACATTAAGAAGAAAAGAAAACCTGACAATGAGATTCAAAATGATAAACAGGAAAATTGCACAATAAATTTCCTGTTTCTCACTCCCCAGACCAAAAAAAAAAAAAAACCAAGGTAAAGTTGAACTAATCCCATATACGGTAGGACTTGAACCTGGGACCTAAAGGTTCCAGGGCTCCTTGGCGATTACTAAAGCACCTGTAACAGAAGAAATTTCTCGAAAAGAAAAAAAAAGAAAAACCAGTCTAATGGTTGTATTATTATTATTTTATGAATTTTGGCTACTTTCATGGGGCAAAACTGCAATCTCTTAATTTATGTGCTCTAGGACTAAATTCTGTTGAGTTTAGATTATTCGAGCAGTTAGGCATTTTTCTTGGAGTCCAAGTTGGTTCTTCACTAGCTTACTAGAACTTTTTTTTTATCAGAACTTGTTTGAGTTAGTTTCCTGTAGTCTAGGTTAAGCAGTCACAGCATCAATGGTCAATAACTCCTTAAACAACTATAATTTGTTCAGGTTTTAAAATGCATACCTCATTAAATATCCATTCACAAACACCAGACTGCTGCAACAGTTGAATGTATTTAAATAGCAACCCAACTATATCCTGCATGTGATCTGAAATTTAATCAATGAAAACAATATTAGTCAGGCACAAGTTAAAAGATATCATGGTTTCCCAGGAAAAATTTACAATGCTAGTTAGATTTACCAGAGCAAAATAAATCAACAATTAAACATATCAGACATCCTACGATGAGGGAGATGATGGGGGTGCAAATAAGCACTAACCATGGCCAGCATCAGTAAGATCTATTACTACTTTGAAGAAAGAAAACTCCAAAGTCCAATCACCTTCGCCAGCCGACAATCTAGTAGCCCATCCTACAAAGGTCCATATATATACGCATTTCAGTGGTCTTTCTAATCTATATAAACAATAATCACATAAATGTACATATACGTATAACAAAACATATGAAGATGCACAAAGACAACTTTATGCATGCCTTCATAAAAGGATGCCTATTGGCCAATGTATGCACATGCAAACTTAGTCTAATGTTGCTAAGCCGGTATTATACAATTTTCACATAATCATATCAAAATTAGTAGGCTCATTGGATTCTTTCTTCTCTCTAACTCCTTAATCTTTTAAATTTTAAGTTCATTATAAACTACCACCTATGTCCTTCCTTGTCCACTTTATTAGTTTCTCTGGACCATCTTCACCTTTTATTAACTTTTCTGCTCTTCCAAGCTGAAACAACCAAATACCAAGCAACAGCAAAATATAATATACCCTAGCAAAATATAAATGTCTCATGGTCTTCAGATAATCATGACATACCTAAAGGCTACTTCAATTTTAAACAATTTACTGGGAAATTCAAGTAAATACCATGGTCCTAATTTGACACAATTCAGAGCAGCAAGGACACTTAATACCAAATCAGAATACACCACAACTATCATTCGGCAAGATTGCCAAAATATTCCCAATCAATGCACCACGGTATATAAAAGCATGACTTTACGACAGGATTCACAATGCAACTTATTTTGCAGAACTTCAACTGATATTTCTATTTAAATGAAAAGCTAAATCTACTGTGAATCCTATTGCAGCATATGCAATGAAAGAAGAGAAATGGTACCAAAAATATCAAGATCTAAAGAACCATACAAGAAAAGCATAGGATATAGAAAACCAAAATGCAGTGACAAAAGTTGGTATCTTTATAATATAAGATCTAAAGGCCAATATCTTTTGTATATGTTAACAAAAAGCAATGTCTACATTTTACCTGGATTTTAAGAGGACTCATTCTAAGTTTTAGAGGCATGCATTCCAAGATTTTTTTTTTTTTCAAAATTTGATTGTCTAAAGCATATAAACAACATGTGCAACCCACCTAGTGTTTTCAAGACATAAAACAAAGATCCTTCTCCTTCATGGCCAATGAGGTGACCAAGATACCTGCATGGTTCTTCCTTGTAACGAAGAATGCTTGGTGTTATCGGCCATATAATCCTTAATTTGTGGCCTTGCTTTATTGGAACAGCTTGGACAAGAATCTGACATTTAAAATAAAAGAAAAATAAAGCCAAAAAAAATGTCTCTTAGAACCTTAAATCGTTTGGCATAAGTCTTCCTTGCTTTGTTCAAAATTGTGACAAACATAACACAATGACTATGTCCAGGCACCGTAACAGTACTATATACCTGAAGATGTTCCGATGTGCAAGGCTGACCAGGAAATACGAAACAGCTTCTATCAGAGTTTCGAATTTCCTGGAACTTGTCCTCCACTAGACTCTGAATTTTATCAAGACTTTCTGAAAATACCAAACAAAGAAATTGCAATTCCTAATGATTAAAAGCAATCATAGCAAAAATTCCTTTTCTGCTCACTAAAGTCATAGCCCTTAAAGTTAATAAAACACTTAGTTATTAACCTTTTGCATATACAACCAGATGCATGAGGTTGGCTGAATAATTGTCTTCATAGAACTTAAGGAGCTCTTGCCTTGTATCTACTCCTTTTGCTTTTGGTCTAACTTCCAAAGTTTCCCAGTTCCCTGCACATAACAAGTTACTGACCAATATAATAATTTATAGATGCTTAGAATATTTATGCACTAGCATCAGTTTTTCTGTTTTTACAAGTTCAAAACACACACAAGAAAATGCAAAAGAAAGACTGGCAAACTGTATTAGAGATCTAAAAGATCTAGTCATCCATGAAAATCAAAAACAAAAACAAAAAGCAAAAATCCAAAGAAATTAGCTGAGAGGGAAAAAAAGAGATTCGTCAGTATCTCAAAAATGAACTCCATATCAGTGTCGCATTGTTGCATATTGAAGTAAAATCAAACACAAGAGAGTACTCAAAAAGGGAGCCTAGTAATTAAGCACTTGAAATCTAATGATACATCCAAGAAATCCAGAAAAGAGCAAGAAAAGCTTAGCACATGTCCAAAAGGAGAACAAGTAGGCATTCAGATGAAAGTCTTAGCAAAAATCAGAACTGTTGAAACACTAAAATACACCATTAGGTTTTTTATTGTTGATCCTTTTCATTCAGATTTCGATAATTAATTCTCAAATTCACTAAGTTAATTGACTCCCTATGAAGCAGAATGCATGGCCTATAGCTTCTTAATTAAATAAATTCAACCGTAGCACATCTTCAATAAAAGAGAAGAGGGGAGACAGAAGGGGATGTAGGGGAACAAGGGAGGGAAGATCAAATAAGGAAATGTTTTGACCTGTGCTGAATTTGTTATATGGATGACTTTCCAAACTTAGATGTTTCTGAAGCTGCATAGAAGGAAAAATTAAAACAGGAAAAGCAGTTAGGAATCTATCTAGAAACTTCAACATTGAAGAATACTACTTGACAAACAACATTAAACAAATGAAACAAAACATATAAGTGCAACTTAATACAAAATTAAAATGAATTTGAACCTATTGTTAAACACTATAATACTCATAATCCAGGGAAGAATTCTCCTAACTAACTACAAGCAAGAAAACAAGCAATGCAAAGATGGGAAAGTTTCTAAAAGTGCAATTAGCATTTCAAACAATTAGCAATTCTTGACGGGTTTTGATGGTATAAATCAACCACTACAAATGGCTAGTGTATGAGAGTGACAAACAATGGTTCAAATATGAACCATGACCCAGCGTATTTAATAATCAGAAATATCTTTCACTTATTAAGGAACTACCCTTAGGAATGAAACCATGACATCCATGCATACGATCTAAACCCTCAAAAGGACCTGAGGAAAGCACAAATTGATGAAAAGTCCTCAATGACAGGTATACGCAATTATTCTCATGTATCAATGTCAAAGGATGAATGAACACTTGCCATCATAAGTTCAGCTCACCGCTTTGAGGAACCAATCACATTACAGTTACACAATAACTGGTTTCATAGTGAAGGCCAGCCAAACACCAAATTAGTATTCAAAGAGAATCCAAACCATGACTAGCACACATGTGGAATAGGGAACTTTCAATGAAGTGATTTGTAGATGTAAAGTGATTCAACAAAAAAGTACATAATACCTGGTTCATTCTCCAAGCATCAGACAGTAAGTTTTTCTGGTTCTCTAGGAAGAGAGTGAAAGAGAGAGAGAAATGTATTGATTAATTGGGGTTTAAAATAGAGGAATCACTGTACTGAAGTAAATCAAGAACCAAAGAGCAAACCAGATTCAACAGCTTTAATTTCCCTTGTGGTAGCATCAGCTGACATCAGTGGTTTGATGAAGAATTGTGCGAACCTGAAGAGTAAATGATGGCAAAACACCCAAACTCACAGACACGACAAGAACATTGATGAAAATAACAACTAAGGAAAATTGAACAAACACCACCTACCGGTCCAGAGCTTCTTCAAAACAATCAGTGTTAACATCAAAATAATAGTTGGTCTGCTCAGAAGCTGTAAAGGCATTTGTGCTCCCTCCATGCTGTGAATCAAGAAGACAAACAGCATGTAAATTTGATTTCAAAGAATATTATTGAAAACAAGTAATACAAATGATTTACTTCACCATAAGCCTCTTTTTTTAATGAGCATATCCCTTTAACATTTGTATTCAATTGGAGTTAACATTAAATGAGTTATTAAATAAGATATGCATCTGATATGAATCCTTTCAAATTTGATTTTCAAATTGATTATAAGATTGCTAATCCAATCAATGTTAACATGTCTAATGCTAATATTATTAAACTATTCTGACCAAAAAGATATTACCATTAGGTAAATATTTATTTATGCTTTAAACATTATATTTAAAATTTTACAGTTTAAAAATTTTGTGTGAATAAAACAATTATTGATGTGCTTATTGATAATAAGGTTTTGTAGTGGGTATGGTAGCCCAATAAATGATCCACAGAGCCGATTTCACATAGTGAGAAAAGGCTCAGTTGTTGTTGTGACACAACTATTTAGGTATGATGCACATGACGATGAATTTTAGTGAGCATGATAAAAGATACCATAAGCCCTAATCCCTTTAAAACATTTTTTTTCCATTTCCCAATTCTACATAGTAAGTTAGTAATTAAAACATACGAAACATAACTTTATTAAAACAAATAAACATTAAAGATAAACACACATAACAATAAATGACCCTATTGCATTAAAGATGAGTAGTACCTCTGTAATGTACTTTGAGTAACTATCCTCCAAAGGATACTTTTCACTAGCATAAAACAGCATGTGCTCTGCAAGCAACACCAATGCATTAAAATCAATACACAGCAAATAATAATAATTATAACATGAACTTATTTTTATAATATGGGAGAAAGGGAGCGTTGAACCCAGCTTTTTTGGACCAGGGATACATGCACTTACCTTTGGCCAAATGCTCGGTGCAAATCAACAAGCTTATTTACTAACATTATCGGCAATAGAATTATTTAAGTGTGGTCACATATTGCCAAAATCTTAAGTATAAAGATCAGAAATTCCTGGCAGTTCACAAATACATTGAGAAGATAAAATCAATGGCTAAAATGGAACGAAGAAATACCAAGAAAATGAGCGAGGCCTTCGAGGCCAACGGGATCACAGAAGGAACCAACACCCACACTCATAGAAGCAGCACACTGTAACATGAAAAATAAAACGACAATTAAAAAATGAAATCAGACATTTTTGCGACGAAAGACAGAATTGTAGCAAATAATTTTGCCTTATCGGTATCAGGATCGCTGACGAGAAGAACTTGAAGGGAATTCCTAAGGACGATCCTCCGGTATTCCCTTTTGTCCGTTCTTGGCTTTATAATCTCCACATCTTCTTTTCCGACCGCCATTTTTCAGTTCTCCGATAAAGGAAACAGCAGGTCGGTCTTGCCTTTTATGTATGGTTCTTTGTCTTCCGGATTTTGGCTATGGAGAGAAAGAAAGAAAGAGAGACGATCTTGATTGGTTCGCCGGCCAGAAGACTTTGGTGAAAATGTCCAAAGTCTTTGCATTAATGCATTTTGGTCTGGCTATTAAAAGCTATTATAAAATTTTTATTAAAAATAATAATTTTTAAAATTAAATTAAAATTATTTGATAAATTTATTTTTTATAAACTTTTTTTAAATAAATTATTTGATAAAATAATTTATATAAACTCTACTTTAATTAAAATTATCATAAAAGATATTTAATAAATAATTTTTTGTTAATTATAAATTTTTTATTGAAAATAAAAAATAATTTTATCTTTTATCTATTTAAAATAAATTTTTAAAAAAATAAAAAAATTATATAATATAAAGTTTATAATTAATAATAAATTATAAAAAAAGAGTTTAACAAATAATTTATAAATAACACATAACTCATAAATAATTTTTTATTAAATAATAATAAATAAATAAAATAAAAAATAAAATAAAATAAAAAATAAAAAAAACAGTGAATCGATTACTAAATCTCTAACTTTAACAATGGAAAAGAACTCGTAAAAGAATAAGAGAAGTCCAAAGTGATAATAATAACTCAAGAAAATCATGTTTAGCTATTTATGTCTTTACCAATAAAATTCACTTTCATGAACAATATTATATTAACAACCATAATCAACAAATATTATTTCAATTTTCATCTAATTTATCTCAACAACCATTGACCTATTTAATTAATTATTTCAATCATAATCATCAAATATTATATACATCATAAAGAAGTTAAAATAAATAAACATAACATAATTGTCATATCAAATAATAAACTGAGAAATATCAACTAATTAAGAGAGTTTTCAAAATCTAAAAAAAATGATAAAAAATAAAAAACAAAATTGAAAAAAAGAAATAATACCTTAATGTAGTTTTAAATTTTGAATCTTCTTTTTTCTTAGCTTTTGTAAGAATAAAAAAAAATCTTAGAGTGATGATTTGCAGCAAGGGAGAAAGAAGAAGGAGATCGATAGGAACAGAAAAAGGAGTATTTTTTTACAGAAATGATCTTTTTGAAAAAAAATAACTCTCCTAATAAGTTGGAGTATTTAAAAAAAAGAAAAGAGAAAGCACCTAATTAGTGTTTTTTTTAACTTTTTTTTAAGATTTTTTTTCAAAAAAAAGTTTTTCTATAAAGCTTTTTACGAAATCTTGTTTAGCCCAACTTCTACTTTTAAGTAGTAGATAAGTTAAATATAAGTTAGGCCAAACGGACACTTAGTCTTATATTGAATTGATTTTGAGAACTAATTCAATTTAATCTCTTTTTCTAATAATATCTAATTTTGTATAAGGTCAGCATTGACATTAGTGCACGTAATATATTTTGATGACATAGCACTAACTTGATGATGTGACAATACTATATAGCACTAATTTGATGATATTAAAATACTAACATACTGACTTATTAGTATCACATGACAGATCAAAACTTTCTAAAAGAAATTATTGTGCCACGTCATAGGTGCTAAAATAGATACAAATATATAATACAAAGATTAAATTGAATAAAATTAAGATATTGAGGGATTAAATTAGAAAAAAATTAAAAAATATAAATTTTTAAATAGATGATACATATACTTATTAATAAGCTATATATTTAAGTATAAAAGATTTATAGTGTTAAAATATATATAAATATTTTCTTACTTGATTATTTGATTTTAGAATATATATACACTAATATATCTTTTTTATAAAAATTAAGTTTAAATTCTCCTACTATAAAAAAATTTCAAAAAAAATATCATACTTAAACTCAAATTTAGATAAATAATATACATTATATTATAATTAAATAATATAAAAGGACTAAAGAAATTTTTTTATTTATAGTAGTATAAAATTTTAAAATTTATTTAACTTAATTTTTAACTAAAGCTGAACTCAAATTAAGAAAATAAATTAATTTAGTTATAACTTTCACAATTTACAAAATACTGATTTTTTTAAAATTATTCAACTCTTACCCAAATTACCTTCCATTTAAATTTACTCAAAGGTTTTTATAAAATAATTTTATTTAAGTTCAAATACGACAATCAAATTCTGTTAAATTTAAATTTAAATTTAAATTATTAATTTAGATGTACAAAAAATTTGTAATATAAAATAAAATTGTACCAATATTTAGAATTATATTTAACTCTATCAACTATAAATGCAGTCTTTAATTCATGAAATTTCAACCTAAAAAATGTAACTTGAAATATTAAATAAAATAAAAATATAAAAATAAATAAAAAATTGAAGTGGTGGAGCAACTCAAATTTTGTGATTGTAATAAAAAGTTTGCCATGTCCAAATTAAGCAAGTCAGAATAAAAAATTATTTTTATAATTATCACCAACTCCATATTTATCTTTTACATTTTTTTAAAAGAAAAAACTAAATTAATCTATTTTGCTAATTTGAGTTTAGCTCAAGTTAAAAACTATGTCACATAAATTTAAATTTTTATATTATTATAAATAAAAAATTATTTAATTTTTTTATATTATTTTATTCAACATAATACAAGTTATTTATCTAAATTTGATATTAGATATGAAATTTTTTTCAAAATATATTTTATAGAAAGAGAATTCAATCTTAATTTTTACAAAGAAGATAAATTAATGTACATATTCCAATATCAAATAATCAAATAAGAAAGTATTTATATATATTGTTTAACACCATAAATCTTTATACTTAAATATTTAACTTATTAATAAGTATATCTATTATCTACTTAAAGATTTATAATTTTTAAATATTTTAATTCATTTTAGTCCCTATGACATGGCACAAAAAATTGTTTGAAATTTTTTTGAGCTACCGCATGGTACTGACATGTCAGCATGTTAGTGCCACGTCATTATATTAATACCACATGGCATTGCCATGTCATTAAGTTGGTGGCACATGGCATGCCACATCATTATGTGGTGTCACGTCAACCCTAATATCAGCATTGACTTCATTCCTTTTAATGGTAAAATTGGATATAATTAAAGAGAATGACTAAATTAAAGTAATTTTCAAAATAAAAAGACTAAATTACTTTGATTTTGAGTATAGTGACTAAATTAAGCAAAATGCATGAATAAAGAGACTTGGGTATTTTAACCGATAACTTTTATACAGAGAAAAAGGGGGACCAATAGTGATTTTGTTTCTACTTTTTTTTTTACCAAGAAAAAGAAAACTATATAGAGTTCTAACTTCTTGTTCTTCAATTAATTTATTGCTGGTCATTAATTTTGAAAGCCTTGTCTTGTCTTCAAAAATTTTCAATCTAACAAAAAATCATTACATAGTGATGATGTTTATCATTTTAGTTTTTATATTTTATAAAAAAGTAATTTATTATTATTTATATTTTGGGTAAAATACCCTTATCTTTTAAATTTTGATCGAAATTACATGAAAGTTTATTAGTTTTTGAAATGAACACTTCACCCACAGAGTTGAAACACCATTAACAGACAGGTGCTCCCCAGGGAAGGGAGCCCTAAATCACGCTCTCCAGGGGAGCTTCTGTGCTCTCCAGGGGAGCTTCTGTGCTCCCCAAAATGGGGAGCCTTTTTTTTAATTAATAAAAAATAATAAAATTATATAATAGTAATTATAAAAATTAATTAATGGTAAAATTATCTTTTTATTCTTGCCGCATCAACAAGTTGACGAAAATACTAACAATTGACTAAAGATAGGACCTAGGTGTTCAAAAAAATATTTTTTTTAGGTGAAGTGTCCATTTCCAAAACGAATGGACCTCTGTATAATTTCAATCAAAACTTAAAAAGTGAAACTATTTTACCCTTATATTTTTTTGATAAAATCAATTGACCACATGTATCTAACACATGTATATTAATTATTTATTTAAAAAATAAATATGTAATTTATTTTAAATTATAATATTTTAAAAAATATATCAAAACTTTTAAAAAATATAAAAATTTTTCTTTTATTCTATAATTATTTCTATTTTATTTTTCTATTCATCACTTTTTTTAATTTTCTCTTTTGTATCTTTCTTTCTTATCCCACCCTCTTACTCATTAACCAAGAGCCAACCATTACAGGGCTAAGCACTAGTTGGCCAAAACCATAGAGTCAACAAGTTCCAACGGTTTTCAATCAACATGGGGCTGGTTATATTGACGTCAATTGTGATGCAGTTGAGGGTGATTATTATTTTGGTTATTCGACTAGATCATTAACGAGGAACCCTTTCCCCCAAGACTAATCAAATAACTGATAGCTTTTTTTCAATTATATTTATATGACCTTGAATCAAGCGCTTAGTTTTTATATAGGAAAGCCAGATGAGGTATCTTGAGTTGGTATGACACTTTGAAAGTGAGAACATTCGAGTTCTTTGGCACAAGAGCTATTTGTGGACTTTTTTTACTATTATAATGGTCCTAAGGTATAAGAGTGAGTCACTGGGTGTAGTTAAATTGCTATCAAAGTCTCCTGCTAAAAACTATAAACTTAAAATGGCATTTTGGATTTAGGAAGTAATGAAAATCATTAAAGCTTTTCAAAAAAATTATATTTATATGAGAAATTACACATTTACCCTTCTTCATTAATTCTCCCATTTTCTCCCACTTGCACTCTTAGAAAGAAATCCTAAATCCCAAAGATTGTTGAACTCACATTCCCCTTCTCGTACTACAACTGCATGTCTTACAACTTGAGTCGCCATCAATTTCAACCCTACTTGCCAAGCCAAAAATCACATAACGAACTGATTGTGGTTAGTCATGGTTTGGTTGATTCCTCCATAGCCTCAATTGGTGGCAGTCAATTCCACCACCTTGGTTGGTTTGGTCAGTTACAGCCTTCTTTAGGACCAAAATTGACCGCATCAACTGATGCTTACCCTTACTAGCCAACAATGGCTAAGGGCCAAATTTAATTGACATTACGATACTTATCAGAGCCAAATTGACCCATTTTGTTATGGATTTGACATGGGGAAAAAGTTTAGGCTGACATTTTTATATGACATGACC